TTTTTTTTTTTTTTTTTTTTTTTTTTTGCGGTGCCTGGGCACCTAGGCACCGCCTAGACCGATTTTTAGATCACTGTCTTTTTTGTTTAAATCCGATTTGCTGACTAGGCGGTACCTAGGCACCGCCTCGACCAATTTTGAGAACACTGAAAAATTCGTTTTGTTTAAATCTGATTTGCTAACTAGGCGGTACCTAGGTGGGCGCCTAGGCACTGCCTAGACCGAGTTTGAGAACACTGAAAAATTCGTTTTGTTTAAATCTGATTTGCTGACTAGGCGGTACCTAGGTGGGCGCCTAGGCACCGTCTAGACCGATTTTTAGAACACTGAAATATTTGTTTTGTTTAAATCCGATTTGCTGACTAGGCGGTCAACACTGCTTAATCACATGGAAACAGTGTGTATTTTTAAGATTTTTTTGTGTGATTTTTCGTTGAATGCAACAGAGATATGTAGCGTTGAAGGTGCAAAAGAGTGCACAGCACTATACAGAAGCTGCCATGGATGAGATAACTATATTACAACAGATTGCTGAGGGAGACGCTGATGATACCAAGTGTGTTGTGAAGCTTTTGGATCATTTCAAACACTCGGGTCCTAATGGTCAACATATATGTATGGTTTTCGAGTATTTGGGAGATAATTTACTGACGCTTATTAAGTATTCTGACTACCGTGGCTTGCCTATTCGGATGGTTAAGGAGATTTGTTACCACATGTTGGTTGGTTTGGACTATTTGCATAAAGAGTTGTCTATTATACATACTGATCTCAAGCCTGAGAATGTGTTGTTGCCGTCGAGGATTGATCCTTCTAAAGATCCTAGGAAGTCTGGAGCTCCTCTAGTTATCGCTAGTGGTAAGGAGACGAGAGTTGACTCCAATGGAGACTTCGTCAAGACTCATAAGAAAGATGTTCGTAGAAAGGTGAATGGAAAATCAAGTGCTGCAGAAGAAGACTGTCCTTCTACTTCTGAAGTGAAGCAAGGAGGTAAGAAAGGGAGTCGAGCGAGTAGAAGGCACCTTGTGGAATCTGCTGATCTCAAGTGTAAACTTGTTGACTTTGGTAACGCGTGTTGGACTTATAAACAGTTCACAAGTGATATTCAGACGAGACAGTATAGGTGTCCTGAAGTAATCCTTGGATCTAAGTATTCTACATCGGCAGATCTTTGGTCATTCGCGTGTATATGCTTTGAACTTGCTACTGGTGATGTACTTTTCGATCCTCATAGTGGAGACAATTATGATAGAGATGAGGTATGCGTGCATATTGTTTCTTCAACGTTTTATGTATGCGAAGCTAATGCGCTTTGTGTGAGTGACAGGACCACTTGGCTTTGATGATGGAACTTCTTGGAATGATGCCACGCAAGGTAATTAAAATCATTACCAGGTTACCCTTCAAGGCCGTTTTAAACTTCTTTTTCTGTTGTGTATTTTGCAGATAGCTTTAGGAGGACGGTACTCAAGAGATTTATTCAACAGGCATGGTGATCTTCGACACATAAGAAGACTGCGTTTCTGGCCAATGAACAAAGTCCTTACCGAGAAGTACGAGTTCAGTGAGCAAGATGCAAATGACTTGAGTGACTTTCTTGTTTCGATTCTTGATTTCGTCCCGGAGAAGCGACCAACTGCGGCTCAGTGTCTTTTACATCCTTGGATCAACTCTGTCCCTCGGTCTCTAGAACCATCTCTTCTCTCACAGGAAGCCAAGCTGGATACAGAGAGAAAGAAGACTGAGAAGGAGGAGCAAGAAGCTATGGTAGTTAAAATGGGGAACGTTGCAATATCATCCCCAAAGTCCAAACCAGGTATGAGCAAAAGCTCTTCTCTTAAGCAAGCAAATTGATTTTGAGGGAAAGGGAGTTGTGATGATACTTCAAACTCGCCTCTGTGCTAGCCAGAACCACCTCAAGTTTCATATGTGCAGTTGTGATATCTTCTTTGTGTAATTTTACGAATCGAAATACCAATATTGACATTCAACATGTACTTTTGATTGAATATATCATCTTTATGAAATCAGACTTCTGGTGCCAATGAAATTAATAACTTTTGTTTTTGGTGCTTCTACTTGTTTCCCATATGTAGGTTTATGTTTTCCTAGACTACTAGATTCACATGATTTTGTATAAAACGTTGGCTTTTTTATAAATTCTAATCAACTACATTGTGGTAAAAAATATGTCCAAAAGTTTCAAGATGTATCAAAATAATGTTTGGTGAATTTTTTATTAGTGGAATCAATTTTTTTTGTCAGCAACAGTGGAATCATCTTAACAATGAAAGCTTCCATATTTATTTTCTGTGATTGAAAAAGAAAAAAGTAGTTTAGTTTGACAGTAAAACTAGCAATTCAATCAAAACAAAAAATACTAAACCGGAATTTATTATGGAAATTGGAAAAAACTGGGTAAACTCGGTTATCTCTAGCTTGAAGCCAAAGCACGAAGGCTTTATATACTAACATTTAGGGGAACCTATCCTGTTTCCGGTTTGATCTTGGTTCAGATTTTTCAGTATGGCTTTGAGTTTCATTCAGATGTGTCTTTTGTTCGAAAGGTATGTTACAATCATGATTCATTGTTACAATATGTTTAACGAACATACAATGGATAAACAACAAATCCGTCGTAGTCTAGCTGGTTAGGATACTCGGCTCTCACCCGAGAGACCCGGGTTCGAGTCCCGGCGACGGAGTTTTTTTTAATGTGTCCCCAAAGAAATGAAGTTTTGTGTTGCTGGGCCTGTTCAATCTGGTGTTCGGTTCGGTTTTTGGTTATTCGATTTATAAAAATTAGTTACCAAATTGAAACTATATTTAATTTGGTTTGGTTCAGTATTTATACTACCAGTTTTCGGTTTATTCGGTTTTATACCAAATACCATTATTATTTGATTTAGTTTTATATTATATGAATTTAAAAAAAAAAACATATTGTCAAAACTATCATTTATTAAAATAATCCTAGGTATTCATAAATATAAAAATGTGAAATTAACAACAAACAAAATGACTAACTATTCAGTTTTGTACATCTTTCTTATCTTCTCTTTTTTTTCCAAATAAATTACATGGTACAATCTAATTTCACAATTGCTTACAACATGCAAAATGAAATCAAATTTAGATAATAGTTGAAGAAAATAAAATAAAAATTTTAAGATATATCTTCACAAGGAATAAAAAAGTAAAAAAAAAAAGACTATTCCAAGAAAATAAATGGTTATATAATGTATATATTTATATATTTTTTCTTTGATCGGTTTTGTTCGGTTTATTCGGTTTATTCGGTTTAATCGGTTATAAACTTAACCATATCCAAATCCTACGGTTTTTATAAAATCATATTCATTCGGTTTATATGGTATACACCAAATCCAAACCATATTGTCATTTTCGGTTCGGTACGGTTCGGTATTACCATATTGAACAGTCCTAGTTGCTGCGTTCCCGATTCAGATTGGAATTCCTTACCGATTCAGTTTCTTTTCAAATTCTAACACTATATTTATGATCATCAAGTATGTATGAATCTGTATCTGTTAGAGTTGGTTCCACTTATATTCTTCTGATATCTAGCAAATTTTGCTTCTTTGGTATCTATGCAGCGTCAAGAGATATTGTTTGGTTACTTACTGAAGAAGCTCGTCTCAACAGTGTCAGACGCATGTTGATCTTAAAGTCTTAAGTGACGTTATGGTAATTAACTTTACTAATGTGGTTGGTGTGTACAAGTGAAACTTATGCAGGTTTATGGAGATAAAATTGCAAAGTTTTGGAGCTTTGTCATATGGGTGCTAAGGGTCAGCAGCTCACAAGAGATTCTTCAAGGTAAATCAAAGTGGAGATTGTTGGTTTATGTTGAGGGTATGACGTCACCAGTGTTCATGGTAGTATATGTCTCAAGAGAACAGAGAGATAGGATAGTGAAGGAGTTCAAAGACTGACTAACTCAAGTCCTCATTTCAGTTGATGTCCTTGCAAGAGGTCTGGTTTGATCTTGGTTCAGATTTTCTCTGTATGGCTTAATTTGAGTTTCTTTCACATGTGTCTTTTGTTAGAAAGGTATATGAGAAAAGGCTGAAGAGTTTCTGCCTGAACGATTCTTAGTTACAAGGTTCAATCCCTAACGAAACTAACACTGGCTTCAAATAAACTCAGTATCGCACATGTTTTATATTTGCTTAGAAAGGTTAAAGATGGTTGATGATTTGGTTTTCATCAGATTCATACCGTTTAGTGGAAGACTGGAGGGCATAGAAAAAGTGTAGGTGATCGGATCAGTTTGCATTGATGGAAGCATTTGTAGCACTCGCGGTCTTCTCCAGCGCCTAACGTTTAGCTAGTTGAAGACCATTAGCATGACCACGGGAGCAACCATTCACACCACCAATGAATGAAGGAAACTGTTCTTAAACTCGAGATTATTTCAGCGTTTGTTTTCTTAAGAATGATTCGAACTCTCTGATGCTTGTTTTTATTTGTCTATTGAAGGGATTACATATGAAGGTGGTGAGCCAAAGGTAAACTAGATGCCGCAGATGAAGTTCTCTGTTTTTATCTGTATGTTCTTTTATGATTATTGATTTTTTAGTAACCATTATGATTCATTATTACAATTTTTTTGTATTACAGTTTCTAACCTAATTCAGCAAGAAATTAATTCATCCTAATATCATGTCCTCGTACATTTACATTATTTGAATCACTTTATAACCATATTTTATTTGGCTGCCAAAGTAATGTACCAATGACATGTATGTCATCCCCATAGATAAAAAACAAAGACAGCTCAACTATTTCATATCTTATATTATTGTCTGAAAGATTCTCTATCTCGAAATCTAACAACTCAATTATTCTTCTATTTTTTTTCTGCAAACAACTCAACTCAATTATTTCATATCTTTGTTTTGTACTCTTTCGAGATTATTATTTCATAATCCACAGAGCTCGCCCCATTTAACTTGTTGAGAGGTGGGTCCGAGTGACTCATTCATGTATTACCATAAACAACAAATATTTTTTAAACATTTGTTCTTTGAAAAAAAATACTTTCTTTAAAAACTTTAAATACAAATATTTGTATAATTTAAAAATATATACATAGTCTATATTATTTTGTAAACATATAGTTTATATTCGTTTAACAATATAATTAAAAGAATTTTTTTTATAATTAAAATAATATGCGAGCTCGTGGATTACCTTCAAATCCCAGTGGAACGAATCTTAGTTTATATTTTTTAGAACATCATTAACCTAAAATTCTAATTAGAAGTGTTTATTTTCTTTTATTTTGTATGATTAAAAATAATTGAAAAACAAATTAATTGTGAACCGCTATATATCAGCGGGATCCGTGAAAAATGCACACAACCCATATAATTTGGCGCTTATTTGGAAATAACAAATACCGGTTTTCAGTTAAGAGTATTATCAACGCGGAAACTTATGATGAATGCTTAGAAAAAAAATAATATACTAGTATGTGGGATCCACAGAAAAATGAAGCACCCACGCTTAGTATGCTTTTTTAAGCGTCGTTGTTTGTTCTGTGAGCGGACCTCACTGACACGTGACATCCCACGATTGGTCCATTTTCAATTTTTTTTTTTAAAAAAAAACACAAATAAGCACATTTGTGCGTTAATAGTGATCTAAGACCATGATTAACCCAAACTTCTTAAGACGAAGTTCTTAGCGGAAGTTAAGAAAGTGTTTCTTAACTTTTAACTAAAAACGTTAAGAACCGGTTTTATATTTAAGAACCAGTTCTTAGCGTTTTTAGTTAAAAATTAAGAAACAGTTTCTTAGCTTCCGCTAAGAACTCCGCCTTAAGAACTCAGGTTAATTATGGTCGTGACCCACCCCACTATTTTATTAATTTTTTTGTAAGCTCCCCCTGAACACTTTGAGATAAAGATGTTCTTACTAATTATGCTGAATGCTGAATCGAATTTTAAATTTTTAAAAATCATTTAATCCATGGTCTGACATGTTAAGTGGGGCTAGTTTAACCTGCTTCCTAGCGATGTTTTATCTCTCTCTTTGCATGAACTTAACATAAACCCCATTTCCATATAAAACTAGTCCTGTTAATCAGTGGAGTCTCTCTCTCTCATTAACGTCCCAGCGAGAGAAAAAAAAACATGGAAAAGGAAAGCTCCGAGAGTAGAAACAAAGCTCGTCTCGCCATCATGGAGCTCGCTAACATGATAAGCGTCCCAATGTCACTCAACGCCGCCGTGAGACTAGGCATCGCCGACGCTATCTGGAACTCCGGAGCCAACTCTCCTCTCTCCGCCTCCGAGATCCTCCCTAACCTCCTCCTCCCATCAGGAGATCCCGAGAATCTCCAACGTATACTTCGTATGCTCACAAGCTACGGCGTCTTCACCGAACACCTAAACGACGTCGCAGCTGGATCCGTAGAGAGGAAATACTCTCTCACCGACGTAGGAAAAACACTTGTCACCGACTCAAACGGTCTCTCCTACGCCGCTTACGTCCTCCAACACCATCAGGAGGCGATGATGCGAGCGTGGCCGCTCGTTCACACGGCGGTGGTGGAGCCGGAGACGGAGCCGTACGTTAAAGCAAACGGAGAGGCGGCGTACGTGCAGTATGGAAAATGCGAGGAGATGAACGGTCTCATGCAGAAGGCGATGTCGGGCGTATCGGTGCCGTTCATGAAAGCTATATTGGACGGCTACGATGGGTTTAAGTCAGTGGAGCGTTTAGTTGACGTGGGCGGGAGCGCAGGAGATTGTCTACGTATGATCGTTGAGCAGTTTCCTAATGTCCGTGAAGGGATTAACTTTGATTTGCCTGAAGTTGTTGCCAAAGCCCCCAAGATTCCTGGTGAGTATATTTAATATTCGCTTTATGTTCATCCTTTTATTTTTAAAAAAAAAATATGGTAGAAGTTTATTTTTGGAAAGCTTTCTATACTATTTTCAGATTTTTAATGTATTATAATTGGTTGTTCAAAAAAAGTTAAAATAATAATGTATTATAATTGTTGATATTGTTTGTGTCAGGAGTGATTCACATGGGTGGAGATATGTTCCAGTCAGTTCCTAGCGGTGACGCAATCTTCATGAAGGTTTGTGGTACCATTGTTTTTCACGTGAATACTTACTTTGTAGGTACAAAAGTCACAACGAACAAATTAGAGCCATGTGTGGACCTGGTAATATTGTCTGTGATGTGATATGTGACAGGTGACTTTTAGTTATTTCAAGATAATTTAACATATCTATCAAAGTTTTGTTTTATACCATCCCCAATAAAAGTTTTAACCAAATTCTTAACACGTATTCTTAGATAAATTAGATTTAAATAATAGTATTTAATTTACATAAGTTAAGGACGAATCTTTAATTAAAGCATTTAAGGACTTGATCCTTAAGGATGTGGCCGATTGTTAAGATTTTTAACTTTAAAAAAAAAATTAAACCGTAAGATCTAAACTCTAACTTTTAAACCCATAACTCTAGACCATAAGTATAGATCTGTTAATCCAAGAAGTATAAATGTGTCTTTATATTCTTTAATAAAATCTATTTTGGTCATTTGTGTTCCTTATATGCTATATTTGTCACAAAATATTTTTAGCTTTTTCTAAGTCATTTTCTCATAAAAATTTTAATTTCACATGTTTTAAAATTTAACTAGATTTTGACCCGCGCAACCGCGCGGATGTCTAATTTTATTTATATATATAAATATTTATTACATCATTATTGGTATATATTTTTAACATCAATTCTATTTTTAAATATTTATTTAAGTATTAAAATACAATAATTTTATAGTTTATATGTCGTAATTGTTCAATTGTTTCAAACCATCATATGTATCTTATTGAATTTGCATTTGACTATTAAATAAACTAATATATGCATTAAACAACAAAATATAAAACTTAATTTGCATTCTATTATGTTAAATTCTTACTCCAACTTCAAAGTTCTATATTACTTTTTAGCAAATTTTTATGCTTATTAACTTTAGATAATATATTTTTGTATATATACAAATTTAAGATATTTTAATCTCTATACATGTATTATATAGTGTATGTTATCCCATTTTGCCAACATATTATTATTTTAACGTAAATATATATATGTATGGAAATAAAATATATTAATATATCAATTTAATATAATTTATCATATTTATTTTAATATAATAATTAATTTAATGTGATTTTTCATTTTATAAATGCTTACTGAATTTATATTAATGTGTAATAGTATTTTATTATTAGTTATGAAATTAATGAAAATATTTAAATAAAATTGAAAAATTGAGATATTGTTAAAATATTTTTCAAAAAATTTGTTAGAATTTTAAAAATTGAAAGATATCAAAAGATATTATCATTAAAGTAGTTACAGATGTTTTATTATTAGCTGTAATGAAATATATTTATAAATTTCTAAGGGAAGGTCCAACTTAAAAATTACACATGAAATGTGTTTGTTACTTCTGTTTAATAGATTAGATTTTTTTTAATATTTGAGATAGAAATGAATATTTTTTTATAACAGAGTATATTTAAAGTCTTTGTAAAATGTATTATTCAGAATTAGTGAATTTAAATTTTTATTATCATTAAATATAAGTAAATTATTTTATATAATTTTCATTTTTTATAAATTAAAAGTAAATTAATTTTAATTTCTAATGATAGTTTATGATAATTAGAATTTAATTTAAAGTTTTTGATTATTATGTGATACATGCTAAAGATGTAATACAACTTCCATGTTCTAGCGAGTGTGAAGCTTGGCCAGTATACATTCTTAGAACCGGTTAACTTTATTTTGTTAAGTTTATTTACTGTATAAACCGAACCGGCTGAATAGTTAAACTACAAATTAAAAATGGTGATCAGAACAGGTTAAGTCCGATGTATGATTTTGTTTAATAAATGTATAAACCGAACATGTTGAATAATCAATCTAATCATGAATTAGGAATGATGGTATGAATCGGTTAAACCCGATTGTGTTTTTTTATTAATTGTATAAACTGAACTGGTTGAGATGACTCTAATTTAGAAAAAGTTAGGTTCGATATAAGCATATTCTTAAACATAGATTTACTAAAGTTGTCGTATTTATTCATTAATGATGCAAATATATGATGGTTAACCGAACCGTTTTTCAAGGCATAGTATGTAGTTATAGTAACGAATATTTATAGTGGCTTTATTAAGTCATATAAGATCTTATTAAGAAATATATAAAACATGATTTCTTAGTGAAGGTCTATTTAAAAAAAAAATCACACATCAATAGAAGTTGTGACTTCTATTTTAATATATAAGATATTTTTTTTGCTAATAACTCCATAATGAATAACACCATTAGAAGAATATTTGTGATTAAAGTCCTTAACTATTCAAAAAATAATTATTATTATATTACTAAGGACTCCAATGCTGGGTAACACCATTGGAGGTGCTCTTATACCCCTTTATTCGAATGTTTCTTTGTGTTACTTTATTAATTGGTGGTAGGTTTATACATATGTTATATAGGTATGTCTTTAATAACTCTAATGTTGAAGCTTTGTATTTGCTAGAACCATATGAAAAAAATATGATGAATATAGATAATATAGAACAATACAAACGGTTTCATATTATTTGCATATCTGTCCCAATTAAATATCTTGTAATGTTGTGTTGTTTGAGTGCACAGTGGGTACTAACGACATGGACGGATCAAGAATGCAAGCAGATAATGAAAAATTGCTACAATGCTTTACCCGTTGGAGGAAAGCTAATCGCTTGTGAGCCAGTCTTGCCTAAGGAAACTGATGATAGCCACAGAACCCGTGCCTTGCTAGAAAGTGACATCTTTGTCATGACAATCTATAGGACCAAAGGTAAGCATAGAACCGAAGAAGAGTTTAAAGAGCTTGGTCTCTCTGCTGGATTCTCTTCTTTCCGACCTTTCTACATTGATTACTTCTACACCATCCTCGAGTTTCAGAAGTAATGTCAAGTATTTATCTTCTTACATTTCAAAAACATATAATTATCATATTCCTCTTTGTTAATCTCTAATGAATAAATTTTCATCAATATGTATGCTTCTTACATTTCTAGAAGCTTTGAAATTATCATAGAACTCTTATCTCTAATGAAAACATTTTCGTACATACAATATGTATGGCTGTATGCCAACTTACATTTTTAAAAGCTTCATAATTATCATATAAAGTAGCATTTTCATAATGCTAAAATGACATTTTTTTACCTTATTTTAAACGAGTTTAACATTGTCTTTTACATAATTAGCTTATAGTACCTTAGAGTTTTCTATTCGAGACTCACTTTCTCCAAGACATCTTGGATCAACAATGAAACGTTTGCACTCGAAGATCCTTTCAACTCCACAGCCTCTCTCGCCATTACAGAAAGTTCTTGAATACGTTTCATTCGTCTCAAGAATTCACCATCTTCATCTTCGTCCATCAAAAGCTTTATAGCTTTCACAACACTATGTTTCTTGACCGACGCTCCAACTCTTTCCTCTTCTCCCCATCTCACAGGAATCTCCACGCCAACCCTAATCCCAACCTTCAACACCTCCACCACGAGTTTCTCATTGAGAAACTGTTCAGCGAACATAGGCCATGTGATCATTGGTACACCCAAAGACACCCCTTCGATCGTCGAGTTCCAACCACAATGAGTCAAGAACCCTCCGGTCGAGCCATGTGAGAGTATCATAGCCTGAGGACTCCAACCCTTTATCACTATCCCTCTACCTTTAACTCTCTCTTCAAACATTTCAATTTTTAGCCATTCATTTAGCGCATTCATGTGTTTTTCCTCGGTTTTGATCACCCAAATAAAGGGCTTTCCAGATTCTTCTAACCCTAACCCTAGTTCTATCAACTGATTAGGTATAAGTTTACAAAGGCTACCTAGACAAGCATATAAGACAGACTTTGGTCTCATGGAATCTAGAAACTTCAAGCATGCGGTCTCACTAATCGCCATGTTACAATTGTTTCCTCTATCAAATAAGTCCACCATACGATCATTGCATAAAGAAACGGGTCCAACGAACCATACCTTCTTCTTGATGGCCTCAGCGTAGGCCTCAGAATAGCCAGGTTCCAATTCTTGGAAGCTATTAACAATAACTCCAAAGGCTTCTGCTACAGATTCACGCACCTTCTCGCGGCGAACGTCATCCCTATTTGCTTGTTTCCTAAACGCACCAGATAACTGAGATCTAGCTATCTCGACCTTATGTGGCATTGCTGGTATTGTAAAAGGCTCCGAGTCTGAAGAAACAGATAGGTGCGGGCTATGAAGATGGAGGTTGTGGGAGCTTAAAAGAGTGAAACAACACATTCCGTGGAACAAAATCCATGGGATGTTGAACCTTTTCGCGGCTTTGGACGTCCAGAAAAGGCTTTTGTCGGAGATTATGCAACTTGGAGGGGCTTCTTGTTCCTCAAGAAACCTTTCTATGGGCTTCTGGAGTTTTTCCACAGCGTCATAGAATTTGCGTAAGAGGTCTTTGGAGGGCAAAGTGTCGAGAGTCTCACAATTTTCAGGAAGACCAAATTCTTTGTAGGCAATTGGGAATGTCACCACGTTGATTTGGAGACCTGACTCTGATCTCGCACGTTCAACTGTCTTTGCAATTCTTGAAGCATTTTGAGGGGTTGAAATTAGGGTAGCGATGTTGCCTTGTCGCGCAAGAATCTTGGAAATATCAACCATGGGGATTAGATGCCCTTGAGCCATGAGAGGGATCAAGATAAAGTGAAGTCTTTTGGCTTTTGAAACCATTTTAGTTTCCATTCTTCTTTTGAGTTATCAAATGTTTAAGGAGGAAGGGTAGATAGCATATGAAGGATACAACAACCTGCTATAATATGTATATATACACGTGTGGATGAATCTTGTAGTGGAGTGTTTTTAGGATTGGGTAAGTCTTCAGAAGCTGATATATTGACTATGAATAACTATTGTTTGGCAACACGTACTAGTCTGGATCACTTCTATGAGGTCAGGATACCTCTGTATAATTCAAAAAAAGAAAAACTATTGTTTGGAGAAACAAACACGCATCATTACTATTAAATTTTTTGATCCATGACAAAACTGTGCCAGTCATTTTTTTGTTGAAATGAGTCACTATACCATGACAATAGGGAGCTACCTCATTTTTATCAAGAAATGCATGATGAAGTTGAAATCCTGTAGTTAAAAAAAAAAAAAAAATTGAAATCCTTAACTCAGTTGACGTACGTACATACACATCTACTCTATTAAAATAGTCACTATTTTATCTACTAAAAAGAAGTTATATATGACCATTTCATTAATCACTTAATATGACATATTAAATTATTTAGGTTAATCAATCAAATAATATCATACTAGATTTTGACCCGCCCTTATAGAGGGCGGGACAACCGTTTTTGCTTTAAATTTATGCTCTTGTTAGATTATTCACAAGTATGTATAGGCATGAGTATCCGGGTTCAGATAGATGGTCGAAAAGAATTATGGTTTAGTCCGACATATATAGATTAAAATCTTTCCATAAATTCCGTTAACATAGGTTTTTGTGATTTGTGGGTTTTATAAATCTACGCCCGCTAGGATGTAATATGTCGTTCCGCTAGGATGTAATATGTCGCCGAAATGTTAGGGTCCAAGTTAAATTGTATATCTGAAGATCATCAGTTTCCCAAGTGTATGTTTGTGCTTCTTTTGTAAGATCATTGAGTAAAGACCGGTTGATGCTGTTTACTAAAAATAATAACTTGACCATGTTTTATCTCATTATTTATGCTGCAGAAGTTGATTAGAAGTGGTATTTAACCACCAACCTCGGAATTTATTGTATTTTCAGCTAAAAATAATAATTAAAATTGTTTACCATGAATATAGGTGTGGCAAAATCTGTAAATACTAAAGTAAATTAAGGGGATCTCAAGAATATGTATTTTACTTTAATAGTATAGATAAATACCATTCAGTTATTATGAATTCGAGTTTAGTTATTTTGATTTTCGATTTGGTTCGGAGAACAATGTTATGAATCCAATAAATGTTTGAGTTCATTTCAATTATGGTTCCCATTTTTGGATGATTTTGAATAATTCAAATAAAAAACCATATAAGTAGGATTTTGGTATAAATATCAGATAAAGTAAATAAATTCAATTTTTTGACAAAATATATTCATGTTTATAGGAAATGAGGATAATTAAAACATTTTGGATAAAAATAAGTAGGAAAAACCTGCTTTGTGGGTAGTTCAGTTTATTAGTAGTGCTTTTAGAGTATTGATAATTTTAAAACTAAATATTATTTATATTTTTGGGTATATAAACTGTATTTTGAATAGTTTGATTCTCGGTTTGGTTCCATTTTTGTTTCAGTTTATATAAGATCTGTTTAGATATTGTGAGCACTGGTTCAGTTTTTGTTTCATTTTTTTTGTCTAGTATCGATTATTATACGATTTGGTAAAGAAAAATATGGAAGTTGTTTTTAAAAAAAGAACAAAAAAAGTTGCTTTGAAAAACAGAAATATGAAAGTTGATATATATTGTGGATTTATATATCTTTCGAAGCGCGGATATTGTATCTTTTTCAAATATGATGAGCTTTACATATGTATGTTTTGATCGCATTTATGGATCATATTAAATCGAGTATATTTGATTGTAGTGGGAGTATAGGGAGTTATACTTCTTTAGAGGGCGAGTATATTTTATAATTTAATTTTTTTATAAATTTTAGTTTTACATTTGTGTTTTTTTGCGTAGTCATATTTGTGTTTTTTGTAATCATATTTATGTAAAATATTTTTTTAAATGATTGGTAATGTGTTTTGACAATTGTATTGAATTTGTGATGTTGAATAATTATACACTCGTGCCTAGTGCTAGGAAGCGGGTCAACCCCGTCCTGCTTGACCCTTCCTACAGTGGATTGATTCATTTTTATTACATTTTTTAACATTTCTGACCCGCAAAGAAAATATATTTATTTGAACCCGCTTCACTTAAATTTACAGATAACCCACAGGGCCCGCAGAAAATTATTAAATAATATAAATAATTATTTAAAAAATATAATTAATATATTTTTAATTAATTTTTTTTTTTGTATATTTTAATTCATTTTATCTAAATTTATTATATTTAAAAAAATAAACCATTTTAGGAAAAAAAATTTTCTATCTTTGCGGATTAACGGGTATTCGCAATATAAATTAAACCAACCCGCATCTGCTCCGCCTAAAATACATTTAACTTACATCCGCATCCGCAACTTAGTTTTCTCAATCGACCCGCACCTGCCCTGCAACAGGTCAAACGGGAGGGACCCGTGTGCTATGATTAAATAGTTAAGTTAAAGAAAAATAACAAATTACTAATACAATTTTTTTTGTTAATCAAATAGTAATTAAATAGATAGATTTATTTGTTTCCATTAAATTTTCATGATTTGATTTAATATATAATGTTAATAATGCTTACACATAATAGTTTTTCATGCAATTTAAAATGAGTTTTGTAAATTTTGATCCAATGTATAGTTGTTAAGCTTATTGATTGTTACTTTTAATAGGATACACATAATAGCTTATAAAGCATTCACAAAGAAACAAAAACTAACTATTTTTTTTTCATGCAAGTTAAAGAATATGCTTTAAATAGATTAGGTATCCAAGCTATATATAAATTACTGGTTTTTTTAAACGATAAATAGATTTTTAAAAATATTTTAAGAACTTTATTTCTATTTACTGTAATACTTTTGGTTCAAATTCGATTTTAATATTTTTCTTGATTAAAGATTTATCAAATATACATTACATTTTCATAAAAATATTTTAAATAACGTATATGTATGTAGAATGAACTAAAAATAAGTATTTGAACATTTATTTTTATTTCTATGAAGTATACATTTGTTTAGAGTTTTAATCCATAAACCTTTTTTTATTTCAGGGTATAGGTTTAATAGACATTAATATTCTTTGGGTTAATTGAATAATATTAATGCTAAAAGTCTAAATAATTTTTTTGACTGAAACATTATTTACAATTGAATGCCCTTTTAAAAAAAAAAATTATTTAGATACTCTTTAGTATGGCCGGACTTAATATTATGTTTTAATAGTTTTTATAAAATTGATTATATGGTGTTATTAACATATACTGCATGAATATTTGTTGAATAGTTAAACCAGATTTTTCTTTAGTTTTAAACTGAAAAGATTTCGCCTATAATTTCGCCTATAAGACAATATATTACTATGTAAATATATTTTTATATACTGGAAATATTTAGTAAATAATGAGAATTTAGAGAGTTGTTTTGAAGTTCTTACATATTTGTTAAGTTTCCATAATCTATGTTAAAACAATATTTGAGTTTTAGTATTAAAGATCTCAATAGTCGTTTAATACTTACAATGATTAATGGAAATAAAATCTTTGGTGAATATTTGTTGAGTGCCACAATTTAAAAAAAAAACAGAATACTTGCCTTGTTTCCCATTTATGCACTTCGTGGTAAAGACTACAATCAAATTCCAACTCTTCGGTCTGTAACCGTAATCTCGAAGATAGAAACTTTCACCACCAAACCTTAATAGAAAGATACACATAGTTCTATTTTTTTTTTAAACTCGTAGAATGCAAAGCAATAGGAACCACAGTGTCAACAAAACCAAAACCAACAAAAACAATATGAAAGATAAAGACATAAACAGAGCCTGAAGCTTATTCAAGTCGAAAGATCCAAAACACTCTATAAGATTTTTAACCTCTTCACTCCACATCCAAAATCACAGTGCCATCGTTAGATCCGGCTCCTATTCACAGCTACAGCATTCCTTACCCAAACCGGTTCACCTTGAGTACGACTGCATTCTCTGTTCCATCGTTACACTCCTAGCAATCATAAATGAAACTTTATTCACCCCCCTTGAAACAATCTGCAGCTCCTAACCACCTATATTCTTCAGAACACTTTCAAGTTCAAATTCATATTCTCTGAAAGCCATAGGCAAACAGCTTAGAACCATTAATGAATAAGATGTTCTGATTGTGCTCAAACAAATTTAATCTAAACCTGAGACCAGCACCAATCTACTAACATTACAAAAACTGTTCAAACTTGTGATGTCTGGTTAGGAGAAGAAAGTAGATATCCAAATCTAAAGTAAAATCCTAACCAACAGAACCTTGAAATTATATAAACCGTAAACCCTGAAATTATATTTCCATTCTCACAACCAATGCTATTAAATTTATAAGCCAAAAAAGATGACCAAGAAACCCAAAATCCCATCTATGAGTTTCAGTAACCAGCTGTAACTCCAAGTCCATTACTTGTACCTGATGTATCATGTTTTTCAATCCAGAATTTCTCAAAGATGTGTACCGTTGGATTCCAGAAGCAATCACACGATCTATATGTTTGTTCTTTTTCTTCTGCCATCCCCAGAAAATATCAACCATCGAAAACCATATTGCATACCTTCCCTTTCCAACAAACTCCCTTCGATAAGCAGTCATATAGCACCATATTGCATACCTTCTCTTTCCAACAAACTCCCTTCGATAAGCAGTCATATAGCAGATCCTTAGAGCTCTGTTTTGTCCTAAATTAAACCAGTCTGGTGAATCAAAGAAGATTGGTCCTAAATCACCCATTAGACCCATACAATGAAAGAAATTGGGATCTTAGAAAAATCAAATGTTAGGGTTTCCAAAACAAAAAAAAATCAACTCGGACAAAGAAGTATATACCTATTCGTTCGCTTTCTTATTGGCATAAATCTTCTCCTTCGTCTTGATTGATT